GATCCTTTTGGAACCTAATGGCTATCAGGTAAAATAACCTGGATGCTGAAATGTGTGAGTATTTACTTCCTATTCGGCTAAGGGAGGCTTGGAAGATAGACAACATTAAAAAGTGCATTTATTTAGGTAAATCTGAAAAGGTCTCTCTGCCTGAAAAAGGGCCACTTAACTTTCAAGGTGATTGGTTTTTGACCTGTAACATCTAGGGATTGAAGTTTAATCAATCTAAAGCAAGTAAAGAACAGAAAACCTGAATATAGCAAAACTTGATTAACTCAAGATTTACAAAAGACCCCTCATTTCTCAGGTCTTAGTTTTCTTTTCTACATAAGAGAATTAAATTTAAGCCCCTTTTTAGTGTGAATATATACATACACACACAAAGTGAAATCTTTATTTCTTTAGAAAATACTGCTTACAAGGAGAGTCAAATAGAAGGCAGATTTTCACATAACATTTACAAGGTATATATACAGACTTTGAAAATGGATTTATCAGTAACAGTGCCAATAACTAAAGTAACTTAAATGCTTAATATATAACTTTATAATTTATATGATAGGTATATATTATTTCTTTGGTTCACTTAAAAATTTTAGCATGCCTGGTGAGCAAAAAATTCAAAACACAATAAACAAGAATTCTACAAAGATATGAGTTACAATGAACTCTATTAACATCCTAATAACTTGTTCAAGGCACTTTTAACATTTTCTTTGACATGCCTTGGAGGTTCCCTGGTATCTTCATCTAATTTTTTCCCCATCATGTCTTCAGTTCTCAGCTCAAGTGTTAGCTCACCCAGCAAATATACCCTAACTTCCCAGCCCAAGTCAACTTCCCTTCTTTACTGTCTCATTGTACCCCATAATTATAATTTTATAATAGCTAGCAGAATGACTGCTTGTTTAATAGCTTCTAGTGCTGTAAAGTCTTTGATAACAAGGATTCGTCTTTTATGTTTTCCATTTTATCCCCAGAACCAAACACAGAGATTTACATAATGAATTAATGACTATGGAATAATTACCATTAGAGTTGTCTAGTAGAACTGTATAGTTAAATAAAATAGAATACTGTTATAGACTTTAGTACCAATATATTGCTAAGTTCTCATTTTTCTTCTGGTACTGAAAATACAATTAACTTTTCTGTTAGATTAAATTCAAATAACACAGAAATTTTTCCTTATTAGAGTCATTATTATCTTACAAAATAGCAAGATAATTTACTTTTTTTTTTTTGCCTAGTACTATCCATCTAGGATAAAATTTGCTTCTGTTTAACATATTAATTTTTTATAATATATCCTCATGAGCAGCAGTAAAAAAGGCAAGCAAACAATATTAATCAACAAATTACTTACATATTTTTTAAAAAGTACTTTTGAAAGCCTTAGTAGCATTTTCCATACTTTAATACTAAAGTTGAAAAAATTTAAATAGCTGGGAAAGGGGAATATCACTGAAATAAATATAGCACCACTTCTATTTCTTTATTTCCCTCAGAAATAAGCAGAAAATACTCAGTGTTTTGGTAGCATTCAAAATAACATATAAAATTACTCTTTGTTGTTTACCTAGCCAGCTCTTTCATATTACACTTTTTTTTTTTTAAAGGAACTGCTTATCCACTCTTCATTTCTATGGTGCTGATAAGAATGCCTCGTTTCCAATAGATGTGGTGTGGATATGTCATGAGATGGAGCAAAAAATCTTGCCATACTCAATTTTTTAACAGTGACTGATTCAAGCAGTAGGTATATAACCTCAGTTGGCTTCAAGTTCCTAAGATACTTGCAAGATTATGAAGGGGAAAAAGATTTCTTTTCTCTTGATTAATAAACTTAAGTTTAATTTAAGGATAGTCATCAGCCCTGAGAGAAAGAAATCAAGAGTAAAGACAGAAAAGTAGAGAATAGTAGATCATGTATGATCCTCCAGATTCTGAAAATCTTTTAACTAGTTTCAGTCCTTGCTTTTCTGTGGTTCAATATCTAAAGAGTCCCTCTTTGCTCTTCTTTTTGCTTCAACTAACTTGAATAAGATCTGCCAATTGTAATAAAAAAGCCCTAATTAAGTTTCCATATTCACTAAGGCAGCATGAATTTAAAAATATTTTTAAATAATTGTTTAATCCCTTGCTCTTACAAGTCTAAACAGAATTGTATTTTAAACTCTCCTGCAATCTTCTGTCCCACTTTATTGAAGTATAGTTGAAAAACAGAAATTGTAATATGTTCAAAGTGTACAGCTTGATATTTTAATATACAAAGTGAGTTAATCACTACAATCAAGTTAGTTAACTATCCATCATTTCATAGTTCATTGCTATAATTTTATATATACAAATGAACTTTGAAAGAAGCAATGTATAAATGTATGTACTTTTAAATTTCTATAAATATATATAAAACTATAGTTGCTATATGAAATTAACATATCACCAAGATTAAAAATGCTAACTATACAGAAAGGCTTCAAGTCTCTGTCACTTCTAATGCTCCAGAATTAACTACTTTCAGTATTTTTAATAGTTTTTGATATGCTTTGTTATATATCTCAATTTACCAACTTTAAATACAATCTCAATTTTGTGCTAGATCAAACTCAGCTGAAGATAACTTAACTATTCACACAACCAGTTAATCTTCCCAGTAATTAGTACTGCTATTATTATTTCCTGTATTATGTTCCTTTGCTTATATACTTATTTATCTAATATCGACAGCCCATTTTGTAAATTGAGAATCAGAGGGAAGGTTATTAGTGCCCTTGCCCTTTCCTTTCAACTCAAAACTTTAATCAAATATTCCCACACTTAAAGGTTAATAAATTTCATTTTTTCTCTAGCTACAATTATTTTTGTACTTTACATAAAAGTTTAAAATCTATACCATTCATATTTTGAAAACTATACATAATACTTTGAGCACATTTTAGTAATTTACTATGACTCTGATCCTTCCCTGTTTACACTATTCATTTTCCTGGCATGTCTAATAGCCTTTTTATATACTTTGCCTTGTCTAATTTATAACTATCTTACATAAGACCAAGTTATCAAGTTTAGTCTCGAATCTCTATTTTTACTTTGAAATCTCCTTCTTAGAGGTGACTTATCTGTAGGATTTATTACTCTGCAATGATTCTGGCACTTTTCTTAAATCAAAGTTACCATTTACTGGACCCACTATTACCTGATCTTTTATATTATACCCTCATTTTATTGAAACACATCCTACAGTTAAGTTCCTAAGAACTATATATGCACAAATCAGTCTTTTCGGTCCTTACATGCCTGGAAATGTTCTTTGTACTCTCACAATTCACTGATAGTTGGGATGAGTATAAAATTTCATATTGCAAATAATTTCCCCTCAAATCTGAATCATTATATTCTATCACCCACTGTCCTTTTTATGAACAATCTGATGATTGTTCCTTAATATGTGTCCTCTTGACAAATGTTCAAATCTAGTTTTTCCTTCTTGGTATTTTTAAATTGCAAAATTACATATTTAGCTGATTATATTCACTGTGCTGAACACATCTTGGGCTCTTTCATCCTGGTAGTTCATGAAATTCCTTTATTATGTTGTTGAAAAATTTCCCCAGTGAATTCTCCCTGGAACTCCAACTAGTTAATTTCTTGAACCTACTAAGTATTTCTTTTTCTGACTAAGTATTTCTTTTTCTTTTCTTGGTTTTGTTTCATATATATTCTTTATCTTTCAACTTTGCTACAGAACTTTAAATTTTAATGTTTCATATTTCCTGAATTTCCAAAAACACGTATTTGATATCTCATTGTTCCTTTCAACGTGAATATCAACACTTCCTTCCAAAATTTTGATTTAATTGTATATCTTCATAATAAAGCATTCCTCAAATGTCTGATCATTCTTGAGTACACATTAATATTTAAGATAAGGCCAAAAGCAGAGTAAGAGCCTTCTAGAATGTTTAGGGTTTGAGGATTGACTAGTATTTTAAAGAGGGACCTTTGATTGCCAGAATGCAAAGGTCACTGCTCTACAGTCACTTAATTTCCTTAGAGAAGAATGAAAGTAGTGATGCTCTTTCCCTGTTGTACCCTGTTTGATGCCTGCCCTGAATGGAAAAACTGCAATTAGCTCCTTTATCTTCATTCACCCAAGTATCTCATTGCCAACTCTCTATTTCACACCTTCAATGTTCAAATTCTATACTTCTCTAGGATTCTAGTAGGGGGTGGAGCAGGATGGACTCTCTTCCTTCTATCTTATAAATAAATGGATAATTTTGCTTTAATTGCCACAAATAACTATTCACATACATAAAAATGTAGGAAACAATAAGTTTCACAAAATTATATTCATCCTATGAAACAAACTGATTTTCTATTGTGAAATGAATCCAATTTAAGACACACACATAAACACACACACACAAATGAAGGTGTGATTCGCTTTGCCATGTTTAAGTGACCACTGTTGTATCGACTTTCTGTGCCCAGAAAACTGAAGTCTTTCATTCACTGATAAGCTCTACTCTCTTTTTTACTTTATTTTATGTCTAATTCTTTTGTTATTATAGTGGGATCTAGGAGAGCAAAAAGGATAACCACAAGTGCTTAGTTCATAATCTTTAACTCAAAGTCATTAATAAGCATTTTTATAAACCAGCAGTTTCCTTTTTCTCGCTATTTAAAGTTCCTATGAGAACTGTGACAGCCTCAATTGCTGTACTGTGGGATTTATGATTAAAGTATGCCAAGGCATTTTGGGGAATTTAAAAGTAAACTGCTGGTGGTGACCATAAGAATCTATATTACAATTCTATTTGTGATAAAAGTTAAAAGTAATATTGTGGTTAAAGGTTCAAAATTAAACCTAAATAGTTAACTGAAGAAATTTCTGGTTGAGGGAGTAAAGGTTCTTCCCGCTAAGAAAATAATTAAAAACCAATTCTCAAATACATTGAGAAAAAATAATTTTATAAGAAGTAAAAAGTACTTACAAAGCAAGGCTACTCAAAACATATTGTACGTGCTCACATTCATCTGGGAATGATGCACTGGCTGATGTAAAACAGCAAAGTGCAGTCTGAAGAACCTGAAGCTGTGGCAAAGGGACCTGCCATCTTCCAGCATAATCTTCAACCACCTGATGGGGAAGCAATCCAAAAAGTACATTATTATAGAAACTGTTCTTAAGATCTCAAGTTTAAAAATTTGGGTAAAAGTTACTAGATAAATTAAAACATTAGTTATATATGAGCAAAATGGTTGAGGGAGTTCTTTATTGTTTAGGTTCATTTTGTATATCTGAAAAGGAAATCATTATCTTTGAAAATACAAACAAAAAATACAGCATATGAGTGACTATACTGTCCAAATCTTTATCAAACTTTCTAACAAATACCCTTCACCTCCCATATCTAGCTTTTGTCAAAATACCAATTATTAAAATACGTAGAAAGCTAATATAGTGAAGAAAATTAGAAATGAGCCTGCACTACTAGAATCATTGTTATTTTTAAGACAGAACTCTAAGCATTCTGGCAACAAATGAATATTAATATATAGTGGCATGATGCTCTGATTATGAAAGTTTTATAGTACCATGTTATAGAGAAAAGAATTCAATATAACCAGTCTTGGCTCTGTTTGTTAACTAGTTTTATGAATTTGGATAGGTCATCTTCCTTCTTTGTGCCTCACCTTAAGTTGAAGATAATACTTATCCTGCAGATAAAACTAAATTGGGGTAATTTATGAGAAAAGATTTTAGAACTATTAATTGCTATAAAATGTTATTCACATTCAAGACTTAATATAATGTTCTGGCCCTCCCTGGTGGCGCAAAGGTTAGGATGGAACACTGAAAACGAGCTGCAGCTACTTCAGTGTGAGTTTGATCGCTGGCCTGGAGGTGATCCACATGGCGCAGCAGACCTCTTCTGACCCACCTGCTGCTCCCCTCAGCAGTGTATTTCATCAATTTGCCTGTTCTGCTCCCCACTCTGTCTCTAGTGAACCTTCTCAATGTCCCTGCCACCTTTGGCTTGTACCCCAGTTCTGTATGCATAAATATTAACAATTATATATTAAAAAGAAAGATAATGTTCTATTTATCATGTTAGACAGGGATTATAAAAATATACAGCCTGAAGGCCAGATCTGGCCTACTGCCTATTTCAGTACAGTAAGTTAAAAAAAATTCATTATTTAGAGACACTAAAAAGACATCACCCATATTGTTGTGGACTTACTGAAATGTGTCTCCTTACAATTCATGTGTTTAAGTCTTCATTCCCATATAACTGTTTTTGGAGAGAGGGCTATTAGGCTATAATTAAGGTTGAATAATCTCATAAGGAAGGAATCCTATCAGAGACAACAGTGGCTGCCAAGAGAGCTCAAGAGATACTCCGTATATCTCCCTCACCTCTCCTTCCCCCCACACTTTGTTACTAAGGAAATGGCATGGTAAGGTCACAACAAGAAGGCAGTAAACCGCAAGCCAAGAGCAAAGTTCTTACCAAAACTCAGCTAGGTGAGCATATTGATCTTAAACTTCCACCCTGCAAAACTGTGGGAAAATCAATTTCTGTTGTTTAAAGCCTCACAGTCTGTGGAATTTTGTTATAGCAGTTCAAGCTAATACAAATGTATTATTTTATAATGTATCATATCAGATTGATACATCATAAAATTGAAAGTTCAAAGGTGTCAAGCAAGCTGTTCACTAATATTTATTTTAGCACTTGTTTAGAGTGATTCATCCCACTGATTAACACACTAGAAGATGAGTTTGGGTCCTAATTCCAAAAGGTGTAAATCCATTACCCAGTCCTGATCCCATCATCCTGAATGCTGAAGTCCCCAAATATCAAAATCACTAATGAAAAGCCTAAAATTTATAGTCCCAAATAGCAAAGCCCAGAAAATATAATCTGGAAAACCTAATTTTAAAAATTCTTTTAAGACATTCATTTACATTTTATATTTAAGAAACATATAAAAACACCCAGAACACTTATTCACTAGTTACATTATACAAGAAAGCTCACTGTAGAAAGAATTTTTATCTTTCATAAATGTAGATTTTAAAAAAAAGGATTATTGCTTCATTTACTGAACCAATTTCAGTGTTTTTACATACACACACAAAATCTACATTGTGATAATGTACTTTCGTGGATTCAAATTTGTGAAAAGTATATACTACGAATTACAACTATCTAAAAATCTTTTTTCTTCTTCAAGATTTATGTATTTACACATACAGAACTAGGGTACAGGCCAGAGATGCAGGGCAGTGAGAAGATTCACCAGAGACAGAGTGGGGGCCAGAACAGGCAGGTCGACGAAGTACACTGCTGAGGGGAGCAGTGGGCGGGTCAGGAGAGATCTGCAGCACCATGTGGGTCACTTCTGGGGTGAGGATCTGAACTTATGCTGCAGTGGCTTTAGCTTCTTAGTGCTGTGCTTTGACCCACCATAGGGGCCTAAAAATCTTTGCGCCACCAGGGAGGGCCTAAAAATCTTTATATAATTTGTACCAGTAATAGAAATGATGTAAAAATGAAATACATTAAATAGGAAATTGTAAAACAAAACAAAACAAAAAACTGTTGATACTTTAAAATAGTGGGAAAGAAACAAAAAACTAGTCCAATGTATTAAAAAGTATTGTAGGGGCCCTCCCTGGTGGTGCAGCAGATTAAAGCACAACACTATGAAGCTATCCGGAGCCACTGCAGCATGAATTCGATCCCCATTCAGGAAGGTGAGCCATATGAAGTAGCAGACCTCTCCAGTTCCACCCACTGCTCCTCTCAGCAAGTGTATTTCTGTACATCTGCCTGTTCTGCTCCCCACTGTCTCTAGTAAGTCCTCTCACCCCCATGCCCCACGCATCTCTGGCCTGTACCCCAGTTCTTGTGTGCATAGATAAATAAATCCTTAAAATATAAATAAATCAAAAGTCTTACAGGGAGAGAGATTATGGATATTTGCACAGACACAGTTCATAGGAAGTTGTCAGATTATCACAATTAACTATATTTTGAAGTCTTACGTTGTACATGACTGAATGATTTGGCAGGGGAGATATCATATATTTTTCAACTAAATTTTTCCACTTCTCTTCATGAGCTGATCTTTCAGAATTATACTATTTCAGGATTATAGATTTTATAAATGTTGATCTTTACAGATTTCAACATTTGGGATTTTGGCATTTGGGATGGTAGCTTTGGGATTACAATCATAATCACCAGAAGACACATTACATATAAGACACATTACATATCACATTCCATTTTATTCCAGGAGCATCAAAATTTGGTGATGATACAACCTATGTATTGAATAAATGTGTTAATTTCCTAAATACCTAAATAAACATTCAGTTAGTTTTTCATTACTTCTTTAAGTATGATTATGTTACTCTGCTGAAACACAGTTACTGTGCGGGTGTGTGTGTTTACTTCTTAGCTATGTCCACTGAAAAGGCCAAGGAACACTAACACTCTAGTAAAAACATACTTAGGCCCAAGTAGTGGTTTCTAAACACTATTCTCCAGAAATAAAAGACCTCAAGGGAGGTTAGTATGATCTTTATATTTATTTATATTCATATTAGTATGATCTTTATATTTGTTTGTGTTCCATGGTTTCAGGGCAGAAGTCGGAAAATAGAAGATGAGCTTAGAATATTTTTGTGATGGCAGAAAATAATGAAATGCTGAAAAAATTATGGGGGGGGGAAAAAAAAAAAACGAGTTAAACCTGAAAGAAGTTCCTAATACCTAAAGCTGGAACAATTTAAGCAGCAAAATAAATGGTGGTACTGAACTTTAATCCATGGAACACAAATAAATATAAAGATCATACTAATACAAATAATCAAATAAATAAATGTTAGTGATATGACAGTTCTTCATACTTAAAAATCCCAATTAACGTAGAAAAGAGAAATAAATAATCAACATTAGGCTAATGCACTGTAATAAATTTGCTGACAAGATCCATAGATCCCAATGCTTTTATGAATAGGAAAAAGTTTAAGTGAAAGCCGAGTTTGAAGTCTAAAAAGTATCTTTTGCATGCCACTTATCAACTGCAAATAGACAGATACTAAGTTTTAAAGTGAAGAAATTCCACAGATACAAACTTAACCAAGTCATCAAAGTAAAAATTACCAGGAATTACTAAAACATATTATCATAAAAAGTCTTTAACATGAAGAATCAATGACACTTTTGTAGTGCTTTTGCCAAAATACAAAAACTGTACCCAATCACTTGAAATTTTAGATTATTACACAAACCCAATCTGGGATAAAAACTATAAGGAGGGTCCTCCCGGGTGGCGCAGCGGGTTAAAGCACAGCACTGAGAAGCTAAAGCCACTTCAGCATGAGTTTGTTCCCCGCCTGCCTGGGAGGTGACCACATGGTGCGGCAGACCTCTCCTGACCCGCCCACTGCTCCCCTCAGCAGCAGTGTACTTCGTAGATCTGCCTGTCCTGCTCTCCGCTCTGTCTCTGGTGAATCCTCTCACCCTCCGCATCTCTGGCCTGTACCCCAGTTCTGTATGAATAAATCTTTAAAAAAAAAAAAAAGATATAGCTTACTCACTATCTATATCTATCTATCCATCCATCCATCTATCTATACCTAGACTGTGTTCTTAAACATGAAATGAGAGTATTTTAATTGTTTTCCATTAAAAGGGGAGGGACGAATGTTTCCAAAGATAATGAACAGAGGTATAGAAGGTAACTAGTATGGAAATGTCAGATTGAACCAAACTGGAAATCCAGTTATGGCAAATTGCCCTGTTAAAGAGAATCAATAAAACCACACCTTGAGTATTAAGACTGATATAGGATATACCATAAAATCTGTACTGATTTGGAAGGTTAAAAACCTGGGGAAGTACCTCAAATAGTGAAGTATTTCAGGTACATTTCAAATTAATGGTTCTAACAAGGAGCAATGTATATATACCATTACATGGTACCGGAAAGTGTACAGTGAATTCAAAGTGAGGGCCGAAGGAGTAAATAAGGAAAAACAAAGCAGAAGAAAAAAATTAAGAGATCAGTCCTAGATCTGATGTTGAGCTGGGAGCTAAGAGTGGACAAAATATGTCT